TTACTTTTAAGAGCAGCCGCCTTGTGGCAGTATACTTAGTTTTTTTCTGAAAAATAATACAAGTCATATTTAATCTCTCCAAATTATTTATGAATAACTTATGAACTATGGTATATCTTCCCAAAACTTACCGGTCTACCATGACGAAGCACAGAGCAATGCAATAAGAAAAAAAAAAGAAACACCAAAATGCGTTAACAAAAGAGATCAATAGATCCACTCTACAATTTTAATAATAGGGCTGTCAAAGTATACTTACCCTTCAGACATGTTTTTTTCTCTCTATAGACGCTGAAAAGACATCACATATGATCACATTAAATGGAAAAGGGCTGTCCATGTATGTGATCTTAAATATCTTGGAGGTGATGATATCATTCAGTGTGTATGAATCTGTGCGTCAGATTTGCGTCGCTAGGAAACATTCTTACAGTCCACACATAGATCATAGTCTGGAAAGGTGACGAGTGCCAAGTATTTAAAAGGCGGAGGAGTCACAATGTAGAGGAAAATTTAATTTGGGGCCCTCGTATCCAAAGAAGACTCTTTATATAAAGCCCTGGTGCCAAGCACTCTCTCCATACCTATTCATTGCATTCGTACCTATTGTGCCTGATAAAGGAACATGCTTGTTAGTGTTCCCAGCCTGGCTAAATTAGAACATTGCTGCCATTCTTTCATATGGCCCAGTTTCAAGCTCTAGCCTTGAACTCACTACACTGGATACTAATGCTTTCATACGGATCCTGTCTAGAACTTAAGTTTTTGGAAAAGATAGCTGTTATTTCTAACTAAATTGTCAGGATATTTTGAGTGTTTTGCTAAAAAGTAAAAAAAAAAGCACTGTTATTTTTTAATGCATTTTATTTCCAAAACCCTCCAACATCTAATTCTTGGTAGCCAGAACTCAATTTTTGAAAACGATAGCTTTAATTTCGAACTAAATTGTCAGGATATTTTGAGTGTTTTGCTAAAAAGTAAAAAAAAATGCACTGTTAATTTTTTTATGCATTTTATTTCCAAAACCCTCCAACATTTAATTCTGGGTAGCCAGAACTTAATTTTGGGAAAAGATAGCTTTTATTTTTAACTAAATTATCTGAGTATAAAGAGGAAACATGTTAAATGATGTTCAAAGTTTTATGCTTTTGATTTCCAAAAAAACAATATACAACTTGTTTATGGTTACCTTTTTATTACCTTTTTTAATTTATTTTTTTTACTTTTGAGTGCTTAAGTGCAAGACAAACCATCTGAGAACAGGTTTCATGGTCTAATTGGTTCTGCGAGCCAAATCTCTGGCTAAGTCAAGAACGTTGGATCTTGTATCCACACTTCTCCATGTCTATGCTAGCCGTGAAACAGCTACAGTATTTCATAACATACATTCCTTAAAGCTGACACAAATGGCTTGTTACGGAAATACATGGCACGGTGTTTGCTAATCCCTGCGGGGAGCCGCGGTTATGACACGGGAGAATATAGGATGTTCATATACATTCATCCATCCTCCAACAGTAAAGGTGTGAGTATGATTATCTTTGAATGTCTAAATGTGTGCTGTAAATCTATGAGCGATAAACAGACCATACAGTACAAATCCCCTCAAATGTTTAGCAATAAACCCAACATCCTTAAGTATTTATGACAACATGTGTGGGCCCATTAAACTTGGTGTAAACATGCTGTGAATGCTTGCAAGACTTACCTTGAACTAGTAGGCAATCAGAGCAGGATGAGTTGTGTGGTGCCGTCAAAGAAAAACAAACGTTATATGTTTTTCGTGATAGATTTATGGGTTGAATCCTGCGTGTGAATGGTTCACTAAAATAGACCCCCGTTACGTCCCTTGTACTCACGTGTGCAAATATCTGGGCAATTTGTTCTCCAATCTCCAGCTTCCTCAGTGGCATTTGCACAGAAAGGGGTGTGCATGTCCTCCAGGACAGGGACATGCACATTTCCAAATGACACACACTAGTGCAGGGGTCATGCACTTCAATTCTTTCTCTGTTGCACTTGCAACTTGCAATCAGGCTTATTATGGTTAACTTAAACTAAAACGCTTCAAAATGCATTTTTGTTCGTTAAAATAAAGCTGAAATAAATAATAGATTACATTTTGTTTTTTTAAATGTTGCTTTGGCAACTAACTGAAATAAGTTTAAATTAATACACTCCACTTATTAACTAAATACATACAAGATTAAAAAATAAAATAAACTAGAAATAAGTACAAATGAAATGTGGAATAAAAACAAAATAAATGTTAATAGTTTTATTCAAAAATAACTAAAACTAATATTTATTACAAAATTACTAAAACTTAAAATAATATTAAAACGAAAATGTAAAAAAAAAAAAAAAATAAAAGCTAATTAAAAATATTCATAAAACCTCAAATAATTTATAAATAATACTAAAATAACACTGCTATTAATGAACATTTTAAAGATTCATTTAGAGGTTTGTTCATTTTGACTATCTGATAAAACAAATACTTCTGCATAAGGATAAAATTAAATTGATAACACTTTACAATAAGGTCCCACTTGTCAACATTACATAACTACATTAATTAACATGAACTAACAATGAAAAAATACTTTTAAAGCATTTATTAATCTTAGTTAATGTTTGTTTCAAGATTTTCTAATACATTATTAAAATCAAAGTATTTATATTAATATTATTTAATGGAGCTGGGGTAACGGAGCTTACAATTACAGTTGTATTTTTATTCACTAATGCCAACAAAGATGAATAAATACTGTAACAAATTTATTGCTCATTGTTAGTTAATTCATTAATTAGTGTTATAATGGGACCTTATAGTAAAGTGTTTCATTTCATTTAATTGCACTGTAACTTTGTGAATTCATAAAATAAGCTTATTTTGTTAACATATATGATTTGTTCATTCAGCAATTGTAATAAAATGTTCTCCTCGTAAATGCAAAAGTTAACTTGCCTTTTCATTAACCTGCGTACTTATGTTCGAGGACCATAAAAGCAGAGTTCTTCAAGGCTATGGAGCCCGCGTGCTGTGTAAATGGAGTGAGGGCAGACAGTAACTCATGTGTACTTGTTTAGAAGGGACTGACAGCACCGTCCTAAAAGTCTGAAGGTTTTAATTATAATTCGACAAGGTCAACAAGGTCGTATGATTATAGTGCACTTAAATCTCATTCTAGGCCACAAAAAGCAACTTACGTGAACATAATGGCAAAGCGCTCAATGACGATGTAACATGGTAGTATTTTTATGAGATATAAAGTGATGTTGACCTTTGTGTGCTGATATGTCATGTAGGCCCAGCATGTGACTAATTTCAGCTTCCAGTGATGATACTGTGCCATGAGTTTTTACTGTGTGACAGAATGAGACAGGGGTTTTGCAAGCGCTTCTCAGATCCTCTGCTGACTGCTGGCATGTAGTGGTAGTTGTCAATGTCAGCAGACCTTGTGAAGTAATTTTAGTGGAAGTTTGCTGTGCAATAAAAGTGTGATATGTAATGAAACTATGATTCTGTAGGGTGACGTGTGTTTAAAGTCTCTGGCTAATGGTGTTACAATTTTGTATGAAAATAAAATTCACTAGAATGTAAGACACAACTGCTGTTTGAAGAGATATAGAAAGTAAATATATTGCTCATATATTGATCCAAATTACCCTGTTAATTATTCTTTGAACTGACATGGGCCCTCTAGTGGTAATGAGGTGATTTTTTTTGCCTTTTAGATGTATTGCTGGTCATTTGTGGTTGTGAACAATTGTTTATTATTCTTTATAGTTCTTTTATACTACCATTCAAAAGTTGTTGTTTTTTCTAAAGCTGCATGATTCATTTGATCAAAAATACAGTTAGTTGAAGCAGTAATATTTTGAAATTATTTTACAGTTGAACTGTTTTCTGTATTAAAGGGGTCATATGATGCGATTTCAATTTTTCCTTTCTCTTTGGAGTGTTACAAGCTCTTGGTGCATAAAGAAGATCTGTAAAGTTGCAAAGACTAAAGTCTTAAATCCAAAGAGATATTCTTTATAGAAGTTAAGAGTCAACCACCTAAAACGGCTCGTTCTAACACGCTCCCACATATCTACGTCACGATGTGGGAAGATTTGCATAACGCCACCCAAATGTTCACGCAAAGAAAGAAGGCGTAACTTTTATTCTCTCTGTAGTATTGTTGCCGCCGCCATGTCGTGAAGGCGCAACTTTTTGTTTATTTGAGTAATCAACATAAAAATGTGTGCTTATGTTACAAATGATTAAGTTCTTCTAACTCAATGTAGTTTGCTGGTTGAACATAATTTCATTAGAAGCTGTCAGAACTGTTGCAATAATTTTTTTTTTTGAGCTAACATTTTTTAGAGTGTGGAATCTGTGATAATTTTTTATTTATTTGTATGATTTTTGGCAAATAGAAAGCTCAAAAGAATAGCATTTAATTTATATACAGTATATATATATATATATATAATATTATGAATGGATTTGTTTAAATGTCAAACTTTGCTTGTTAAAATTGCTTTCTGGTGAAGTATAACCTAAATTTATCTAGTCCTGTGTTTCAGAAAATGAAACAAGTAGGTCATCTTACATCTCAAAACCAAATTGCTATTAAAACTTTGAGTCTAACGTCCAACTTGGTATTAAATATAACAGTTTGACAAATAGCTGAGAATAGAAACTTTTTTTAGCTGAATTCATTGCATGTGTAGTTAAAGGACTTGATTTTAAGATAGATTTGAATAAAAAGACAATGTTCGTGAGAAAAGCTTTATATCTTCGTGTGCGTCAGGCTCACCTCCTGCCCTTTATCAGATCTCCTGGTTTCCTCTAAATACAGATAGAATCTAAGAAAGCCATGAGAGGATGTTCGATGATCTGTCACGTCACTTAAAAAGCAGCAGTAATTGTCACAGTACCAGAGAAAACATTAAATACGATGGGTGTGATTTTTGTCTCTCTTTTCTCTCTGCTTTCATGTGTCATAATGAAAATCTCACCCCTGCATCTCATTGAACTCCCTCCGATGGAATGTTCTCAAGAGGTAAAGATGCTGTTTGTTCCCTTTTAGCCATTGACATTAATGTTATTCATATAAAAACAACATTTTTCATTATGCTGTTTTCTGACAGGGAGTAAAATGCAAGATTGAAGTAGGCAAGTATGAGTTTATGTCTTCTTTAAATTGACAGTAATATTAGTTTTTTTAAAGACAAAATCAAAGACATGTTTCTTTGATGGTCTTAGATAACTGTTCAGATGAGGGTTTGGTGGTGCCAAGATACAAAGCCCCAAGGTTTCCTAATGTAACTGCAAAGGTAGCAGCCAAGAAAGATGACAGTGGACAGTTTGCACCAGTCCTATACATTACATGGAGCCAGTTACCGGATGGTAAGACAAGTATGATAACGTATAGCTACGCGCAGGACTATAAATTATTTAAAAATAACCAAATCATTTCAATCAAATTGCCTTTTTGACCGGAAATGTTCTTCCTCTAACAGAACCTGTACAGATGGTCAGCATAATTATCTATTTAAAGCATTTATTAAATAAAATTATTTTCCTCAGGGAGTATATTGACTCTCATAGGGACTGAAGTGCTTGTGGTTGAAATGTCGACAAATCACAGCGTTTGTGTTCGTTACATTTTCCATGACACACTATCGTGTACAACAAACCCAGGACTGGGCAGGGTAAGAGTACTATTACTTATATAATCATATATCCACTGAAAAAGTGTACTTTGAAACAATTTTCACTCATAAATTGCTAGTAAATTTCACTAATGCAAAAAATAGCAAACAACGCATTGAATTAAACATGACATTTTGAAGTAAAAATACATAGTAGAAACATACTTAAATAATCTTTATTTACAGATAATTTTTTTTTATAATGTGCTATGCAGTGTTATTCACACCATTGTTTCAACTTTGCCTCTTTCCTTCATCTTTTTAGTGGACATTTTCTTTGGACAGAATTGTGCTCATCCCCAACTTTAAATACCAGGTTTTTGTAACTAACTTACCAAAGCCAGACACAGGGAGCTATACAACAATAACCAACATCATAGTTCCAGGTGAGAATTAATCAATAACGCAATCAAACAGTTGAGGTTTGATGATTAGATGTGTAGCAGACATTTAATCCGAAATGCTTTAACATGCATTGGAAACATGGAAAATCTTCATTATGCCCTACTGGGATAATTCTGAAGTGATGTAAAGTGGTGTCCAATTCTTAAAAAGCAAACTACTGTTAGGTAAATCTGTTTGTCATTTTAGATCGCATTTGGGATACGAAGGTAGAATGGTCAGTGCGAAAAGATAAAGAAAACGGTGACTTGGTGATAACAATAGAATTTGAACCAGAAGAGTTCTCTGACCAATACAAAGTCTCCATCTGCAGTCCTGACCTTCAACCAGAACCGTTTCACATTGTCATAAAGGTACTTTAAATGTTCAGTATCTAAAAGACTCCACAGTGCCACCTGTTGTCTGTTCCATCATGAAAGTAAATTCATATATAGCATTAATATAGGAAGCACAGACAATATTATGAGCGTGAATGCTAAATTAATTCTGTTTTTAAGGATAACGAGCCATTTCTGAATGTTAATTTCACGCTGGAAGCATGTCGGATAAATCACTGCAATTTGGAATTGGTGGTGAGTTATAGTACCATTTATATGAGAGTACTGTTTGTAAATAATATTCAGTTGCATGAGGATGTTTTGTTAATAATTTTTCTCAAATCACTAAATGACTAAAAGATGCCCTGTTCAACAGATTCAGCCACTGTCTGTTCAAAGCATGAATACCTGTCTGGAATACAGAAGGAAATTTGATATCTGTCCCTGTATGTATTATACAATAACAATAAATGTCTTATTGCCTGTGTGTTTTTAATTAGCCAGCATTCAAATTAAGATACACAACAATTCAAATGTCTCAATGTATGGCTCATTTGATCTTCTAGTTTGTTTTATTTGGTAGACTATTATCTTTATTAACATTTTAATGTCAGTTCTTCCAGGTGCTCCTGTTTCTTTTATCATTTTGGCGACACTGGGGCTGTTGTTGGCTTCATTGGCAGCTGCTGTTTGCATTTTTGGCTGTATTGTATTTTTGAAGAACAAGGATTTACATAAAGGTCAGTGCAAATAAAACAATCACATAAATAAGCAGATAACTTAGGCCCGGTTTCACAGACAGGGCTTAAGTTAAGCCAGGATTAGGTCATAGTTCAATTAGGACATTGAAGTATCTTTTATAAACATGCCTTAGAATAAACATTACTGGTGTGCAACTTGAGACAAATTAATAGTACTAACATATTTTAAGATCAGTCAGTGCAAGTTTCTTTCAGTTGAAACAGCCCAGACATGCATTTTAGTTTGGGACTAGGCTTAAGCCTTGTCTGTGAAACGGGGCATTAAAGTCGCATTGAAACAGAAGTAGCGACAGTATCCAAAAAGAAAAAATGTGGGGCGGAGACTTGACTGTATGCTCAGTTGTTGATTGTTGATTAGATTTCTCTCAAAAGTGGAGGCAGATATGCTGACTTTAATGGACTTTCGTGATTCAAAACACTATATATATTTTCTATGCAAGTAATCAGTCTGGACTCAAATTTATATATAGTAGATATAGTCTGGACTACTCACCCAATCCAAAAATATGTGCACATAAAATACGGATTTGAGAATTTGTATCTGAATGCTTCCACTATGAAAAAAATAGTCCATTAGGGGTGACTGACACAGATTGTGTTTTGTGTTTAAAAATGCAAGAAAAAATAAACCCCAAGTGTCCGGGTTGGGAGTCTGTGAGAAAATATGGCAGGCGAAATGTATGCATTTTTTTTTAAATGAATGATTTGCTTTTTCATTTACGATAAAACTATTCATTTACAATAAAAGCCAAACTTTGCATGTACAAAATATAATAGTATTGTACAATTAGATTTACATGCATAAATTGAATAAAAACACAAAGCAAAAACACACCCAATGCCCAAAGTCTATTCATCTTTATTCACCTTTTTTATTGAATCTAGTAAATTAATGCAGAAAAGGTGCATTGCCATCTTGATCCGAGTTATTGAAATGCAACTTGCATCGAAATGACAACTTCCCATCTCTTAAAAATACAAACTTAGCAGAAGTACCTCATTGCACCAATAGTGTAATAAAAGTCAAATATAGGCTACATTGTTCTGCAGTTTTCAATTGTTTTGCTGAATCTTTCACTCACTCTTTATTATCTCAATACATTTTGAAGGTTCCAAAGCTTTTGTATCTTAATAATATTAATGACTTTTGACAGAAACGCCCTCCTCAGACAGCTCAACATGTGCAAAGGGTAAACTAGAGTGGAATCCCATTCACGAGCCTAAAAGGGTCATCATCATCTACTCTCTGGACCACCCCCTGTACAAAGAAGTCATCTTGAAGTTATGTGCCTTCATGAGGGCTAAATGTGGCACAGACGTCACTCTAGATCTCCTGGACTCCGCCTGGCTCAGCACAATCGGCAGAATTCAGTGGCTGGATATGCAAAGGGAACGAATCTCCAAGTCCTCAGATAAAGTCCTGATCTTGTGCTCTCCAGGCGTAAATGCCAAGTGGAAGGCCATGTGCGGTGAGCACAAAGTGAGACTCAAGGAGGATGAACATTCCCCCATAGGAGACATGCTCACGCCGGCTCTGAGCCTCATTATACCGGATTTTGTTCATGCTTCATCTTTCCACAAGTACATGCTGGCTTATTTTGATGACGTGTGCAGTGAGGTTGACGTTCCAGCACCATTCAACGTCGTGGTGAAGTACAAACTCATGAAGCACTTTGAAGAACTTTACTTCCGAATACTAGACATGGAAAAACATGAGCCGGGACAGATTAAGTGCATTGAAGGCGTCAGGGAGAATGATTACTTCAACTGTCCATCAGGACGAGGACTTCGGGATGCTATTGAAGCTTTTAAAAATTACCAGCTGAAGAATCCAAATTGGTTTGAAATGGAGCTTTTGGACACTGATGATGAAGAAGAGGAAGCCATCTTGGAGTCAACGTTCCCTACAGACATTAACTATAGCTCTGTGACTGAATGCTATCAGCTGTTTGAAGAGCATAATGCTCATACATTTGTCAGTATGATTAAGTATCACAATGATGAACATGTTTTAAAGTCTTCGATCGCAGAGACAGCCATAATACTGAGCGAGAATTCTTCAGTTCTTACCACAGATGTGCATTACAGTGGCTCAGTACAGAGTAGCATTACAGCTATTGATGTAAAAGGTTTACCAGCAACTAAACCTGTGGCACAACATGCTTTATGCTTACAGGCTCTGTGAAAATGTCTGATTTAAGCTTGACATCATCAGTCTACTGTAGCTATTACATTTCTATTCTGCTATATATTATAATTTCCTTTCTTTTTGATTTTTGTTAATCTTAGCTTTTTTTCTATATCGTTATAAGTTCACTATAGTTAATTTGATTCTACACAATCATGTTAATTTGTTTACTTATACAGTAAAAAAATGTATGACATCTTATAAACACAAAAAAACATGTTTTTGTGAGATAATTCAATTTGCTGGCAACTTTATCAGATTATTTTGCTATGACAGGGCCAGCACATCATACAATAATAGTTTTGGGTGCTTTTTCCTTATTCTCAAATGTATAGGCAAGATTTATATTTGTCTACAAAACTAATTTCAAGCAGTTCATTCAGTCAGCTAAGTGAGTCTATGAATGAAAGTGGCCTCGAGTTATGAAACCTCTTACAGAAAATAGAAGACAAAAATCCTATAGCAAAAAAAATGTATTAAAAACAAACAAAAAATCTCTATATTCGTAGATATTACCGTTGTAAACCTAAAAAGCCCTTGTATATCCCCCATCTGACAGAAATTATGAGTAAAAGGCGATTCTCAACTAGTACAAACAGACCCAACCGGATCAAAGTTCAACCTAGTGGAGTCCAGCCGAAAAGCAAACAGCTTAAATTGAGAGTTGAATATCCAGAATAAAAAAAATTGGATTTATTTAAGCCGAGTCGTGACTGAAGTCAAGTGCTACTAAAAGTGAGTAGCCTAGCGCGTGAGAAGCGTTTTAATGAGCGAACGCAGCCTCGTTTCTGTCAGTCTTCATTGAGCGACTGAAGTCCTGAATTGTTTACTTGTCTTGGACCTGTGTGTTAGTTTTACGCTTAGTGTATTTCTGTATTTCATATTTTGAAACGTGCAGGATTGTGACCATTGCTTATATCAGCACGTCACAATTGTCTCAAACAAATTGTTCCCTTTGAAGTTTGTGGAAACTCTCCAGCACACGGGGGCTTGATTGTATTTTACTTTGCGAGTTTTGCTGACCTGAAGATCAAGCTCTGAAGATGTGGAGGTTGTCTGCGTTTCTTAGACGTTGCATTACAACTTCCCCCAGCAGACATCGCAAAAAAGGTAAACTGGCACAAACCACAGGTCTAGATTCAGGTATCTGCATTCAGAGCAGCCATGTGCCAATTTCATTTTCCTATGCAATACATCTTACATCTGACTAATCGAACCACTGTAGATTATGCACTGAGCATTTCATCCATAATTGATTATTTCCTGTAAATGTTGTTGTTTTCTTATCTTCAGTGGAAAAAGGTATTTAGCAAAATGTCAAAGCTTTTACTTTCCATACAATTCAAGTAAATGGGGACCTTGGCTGTCAGGCTCCAAAATGGCCAAAAAGCACCATAGAAGCAGTCCATGTGACTCGTGCAATATTCCACTTTATGAAGAACTGACCAACAATTTTTAAAAATTGTATGTGCTTTCTCTATATAATTTGTCAAAGACTAGACACATGAGAATCAATTCAAACTTGGCGAGCATGTCTTTGGTCAACAAATGTGGTACAGTGGTTTGAATACAGTGTTGTTTGGGTCAGCTATTCCATATTTCTCCTACAGACAGCCTGTTTATCATCCATCCTAATGTGAAAGAGGCTTTAGCGGATCACAGGCCAGTTGTGGCTTTGGAAAGCACTATTATCACACATGGAATGCCTTATCCTCACAATCTCAGGTAGAGAAATGTGATAAATCTCTTACAGTGCTGTCAAATACGTAACATGTTGAACTTTTGCCTCAGGCCATTCTAAAGTCAGGGTTGTCACATGACTTTTTATCTTAAAAACAGTACAGACATTCTTTTTTATTATTGCACAAGGTTTTTAAAAATAAAATGTGGAAAACTTTTAATCTGTACACTGATTCATATCTGAAGGATTCAGTATTTACCAATCGACTGCATTTCCTCTGTATTTCAGTACAGCAAAGGAAGTGGAGGCGATTGTGAGGGCTGAAGGTGCCATCCCTGCAACCATTGGGATTCTTGAGGGCAGCATTCATGTGGGCCTTTCTTCAGATGAACTGGACTTCCTGGCACAAAGCAAAATGGCACTAAAAGTGTCCAGAAGGGACTTACCTTATGTCATCAGCAAGGTCTGGAGCTGAAGTAATCTTTATTTGTAACGATGTGATTATACATATTCATGTGAAATGTCTGTTTTTTGATAGGGTTTGTCAGGTGGCACAACTGTCTCCGGCACAATGATTACGGCTCACAAGGCTGGGATTCCTGTTTTTGTAACTGGAGGCATTGGAGGAGTACATAGAGATGGAGAAAACTGCATGTTTATTTTCAAAATTGTTCTTTTATCCATGTGAAATGTATACTGGCCTGTATTTAATGACCAATATATTATCTCTTGTAGCTCTGGATGTGAGCGCAGACCTCACTGAACTGGGTCGAACCCCTATTGCTGTTGTGTCTGCTGGGGTGAAATCCATCCTAGATATCGGTCGCACTCTTGAGGTCTTGGTAAGACTTTAAAGAATTAGCTCACTTCCAGAATAAAACTTTCCCTTATAATATACTCACCCCCATGTCATCCAAAATGTTCATGTCTTTTTTTCTTCAGTCAAAAAGAAATTAAGGTTTTTAAGGAAAACATTCCAGGATTTTTCTTCATATTTTTCTCCTTACTTCAATGGGAGCCAGTGGGTTGAAGGTCCAAATTGCAGTTTCAATGCAGCTTCACAGGGCTCTACACGATCCCAGCCAAGGAGTAAGGGTCTTATATAGGGAAACGATCAGCCATTTTCTAAGAAAAATACAAATGTATATACTATTTAACCACAAATGCTCATCTTGCACTAGCTCTGTGATGTTAAAAAGGTAGGGTAGGGCAAAAAACGCCATCTGATTTTCTCCTCCAACTTTAAAATCATCTGACGTTGTTGTTCTACCTTTTTTTGTAAAGGGCGTTTGACTTTGCACATTCACTTTGTTTCGCCTACGTCACGCATGACCTTTCCAATGTGACTAATTTCATGAGGTCGCGCTAGTGCAAGACGAGCATTTGTGGTTAAAAAGTATATACATTTTTATTTTTTATTTTTTTAGAAAATGACCGATCGCTTCACTAGATAAGACCCTTGTTCCTGGGCTGGGATCGTGTAGAGCCATTTGAAGCTGCAGTGAAACTGCAATTTGGACCTTCAACCCATTGGTCCCCATTGAATTCCACTATATTGAGAAAAGTCCTGGAACGTTTTCCTCGAAAACTTAAATTTATTTTCGACTGAAGAAAGAAAGACATAAACATCTTGGATGACATGGGGGTGAGTAAATTATCAGAACATTTTTATTCTGAAAGTGAACTAATCCTTTAAATCCAGTCACAATTTTGTGAACAGCAGTTTGCATGTGAACACAGACACTTGGTGAAATCGCAGTAAAGTTGTGAAAATTTGTTTTGCAACTTTTGAGGTGAGAGTTTTAGATTTACATTACCGTTGCTGTCATCTAACACTCACTTATAGTTAAGTTTAATAACATTAATAATGTAATAACACTGTTAAATTGAATTTTTACAAAAGGGAATAGGTTGCCCAAAAATGTCATCATCTACTCACCCTCACTAATCATTTATTATTCATGTTGTTTCAAACCTGTACGAACGTTGAACACAAAAGAAGATATTTTGAATGTTGGGAACAATTGACTTCCATAGAATTTTTTCCATACCATAATTATAATACACACATTTTAATACCCCTATTAAATAGGGTCAGTTTTGATTTTCATATATATACTTAAGTTCTAATTCAAAGATAAGTGCTTTTATTTATAGGAAACTCAGGGTGTGTGTGTGGCCACATATGGAGATTCAAAGAGCTTCCCGGCTTTCTTCTCTCAGCAAAGTGGATTTACTTCTCCTTACCATGTCTCCAGTCCTCAAGAAGCAGCGGATCTTATTGGCAAGTGTTTAAGCTTTTACCGCACATACATTTGAGTAAATGTCAATATTACACATTTACTGAATGTTGCAGTGATCCTAATTGAAAGAGCTAGTTGAAAAAGAGATCATAGTTAAAGTTCCTCTGACATAAACTCATCCTGCTTAGTCATTTGTGAAGGGATCGTAAACTCTCTCTTTCCTCAACAGTTAGCACACTATCTCTGGGGCTGCAAAGTGGTCTACTGTTGGCCATTCCCATCCCTGAGGAACATGCAGCCACAGGACAACAGATAGAAGATGCCATACAAACAGCTGTGTCGGAGGCCAGGTAGAAAAAAAATAGTGATTGGCCATACCATATGCCACATAGAGTGACAAACACTTCTAATAAAAGCATTTTCTTTGTATATCTGAAGCTCAAAAGGTGTCACAGGAAGAGATGTCACCCCTTTTATCCTTCAGCGAGTCAATGAGCTGACTAAAGGGAAGTCCTTGCAAGCCAGTATCCGTTTAAGACACAAAAGATAGTTTGTCATGATAAGGCTTACTGTATACATATTCTTATATATACGTATAATAACAGTAACTTTTTATATTCGTTTTGGTTTCATGTGTCTTTTTGTGGTATTTTCCTGAAGTTCATTCATTTTCAGATATAGCACTCATCCAAAACAATGCCAAGGTGGGCAGTCAGATTGCATGTGCCCTTTCTAAACATAAAGAGAAAAGTGGAGGCAACTTCAGAGGTGACATTAAAACCCGAAAATCAAAGGACCAGAGAATAGACTCCAACACTGTGGTACAGTAAAAAAAAAAAAAAAAAAAAGTTTTAGCAAAATATAATAAGCGCTCATGGAAAGACTAAATTTTATTTTAAGTGTTTTGTATTGTTAACTAAAACTAATTAAAAATAGTTTTTGTTAATTGAAATAAAATAAAATATTAATATTGGATTAAACTTTGAAACCAACTTTACCTTGACAACCAGCTGAAATATTTTTAAGTACTAAAACTACTACAACTATATTAAGAAATAATAAAAACCCAAAGCCTAATAAAAATGACAAAAGCACATAACATTACTAAAACTTAAAATTAAAAAATTAAAATAAAAGCTGTAATATTATCTAAATAATGCTCAAATAACACTATTTATTTCCCTCAGATTGTTATTGGTGGAATAAACGTTGATTTCATCGCTAAAGGAACAACAAAGAAATTGGTGGTAAGACTAATAAAACAAGTTAAAGGAGCTTAAACGAACACTCCACTATTTTTGAAAATAGTCTAATTTTCCAACTCCCCTAGAGTTAAACAGTTAAGTTTTACCATTTTCTAATCCATTCAGCTGATCTCCGGGTCTGGCGGTAGCACTTTTAGCTGTAGCTTAGCATAGATCATTGAATCTGATTAGACCGTTAGCATCTCGCTCAAAAATGGCCAAAGAGTTTTGATAGTTTTCCCATTTAAAACTTGACTCTTCTGTAGTTACATCGTGTACTAAGACCGACGGAAAGTTAAAAGTTGCTATTTTCTAGGCCGATATGGCTAGGAACTATACTCTCATTCCGGTGTAATAATCAAGGAACTTTGCTGCCGTACCATGGGTGCAGCTGGCGCAATGATATTACGCAGCGCCTTAAAGTTCCTTGATTATTACACCGGAAAGTGCTACCGCCAGACCCGGAGATCGGCTGAATAGATTCGAAAACGGTAAAACTCAACTGTTTAACTCTAGGCGAGTTGGAAAATGAGACTATTTTCAAAAAAAGTGGAGTGTTCCTTTAAGTAACTTCTTTATGACATTTTACAGGTAACATTATATATTTTGTATTTGTATTATATTTTCAGTTTGGTCAGACAAATCCAGGAAGTGTTTGTCAGTCTTTTGGAGGCGTAGGCAGGAATATTGCTGGTATGTAATGTGTCATTCATATTATTTTCAGTGAATATGTACAATTCCAGTTTTTGACTTGCTTATATTTCATGTAGACTGTTTAAGCAGATTAGGGCACAAGCCTCTCTTCATCTCTGCCATTGGCAAAGACTCTCATAGCGACGCTGTGCTAAACTATTGTAAACACATGGTGAGTTATATTTAGCATTTTATTGCTCTTGTAGCCAAAATTTCATTGTAACTACAGTTTTTTGCTTTATGCTCATCAGGATACAAGCGCAGTTGCCAGATTACAGGACCAAAGGACTGCGACCTATTGTGCTGTTATAACTGAGTCTGGGGAGCTGAACCTGGGATTGGGCGACATGGACATCCATCAGCAAATACAAGAGCAATATGTACATATATTCTAAAAGTATACTGCCGTTCAAAAGTTTAGTGTTACAGATTTTAAAATGTTTTTTAAAAAGTCTCTTATGATCACCAAGGCAGAATTTATTTGATCAAAAAATATAGTAAAAAAAAGTAATATTGTGACATATTATTACAACTTTGAATAGCTGTGAACTATGAATTTTCAGCATCATTACTCCAGTCTTCAGCATCACATAATTCTTCAGAAATCATTCTAATATGCTGATCTGGTGCAAAAGAAATGTTTCTTTTATTATCAGTGTTGAAAACAATTGTACCACTGGACATTTTTTCAGGATTCTTTAATAAATAAAATGTATTAAAAGCAAAAAACTAAATTTATTGAAATAGAAATCTTTTGTAACTATTTACTGTCACTTTTGAACAATTTAATGCATCCTTGCTAAAAAGTATTAATTTCTTAAAAAATAAAAATCTTACTGACCACAAACTATTAAAGTAATCATGACGCATTGTGGATTTAAGTCCAGCTATGTTAGTTTGCATAGCATTTACATGCTAGTACACATCTAAACACTGACAAATACCTAGGCAGATAAACATATTTAAAACGTTCAGTCTTTTTATTTCAGGTAAACAGAGGAAATTATAATGATGACTCATCCTGTACTCACTCAGTTTGTCCAATCAGATACACTATAGAATGTGATTGTCCCGCCTCCTATTAACACATGAAATTGACTAGGAAATAGTAAATCATGTTCATGGCTGTGATGAAATTAAAATCATTGGCTACTAAAAAAGGACAACCTCTCTGATATATATTTCCCACGCAAACTTCCTGTTGCAATAGGAAAATCTGCAAGGGTTTTAAATTAAATGTAACAACTAATTTAACAGCATAAATCTTTTTTTTTTTATCTTTACGTTCAGGTATCTCAGTTTGAGGATCAGCTTGCATCAGCATCTCTTGTAGTTCTTGATGGCAACATTCCCGTTTCAACCATCGATTACGTGTGCCATATCGCCAAGAAACATGCAGTCCCTGGTAAACCTCATTTATCTACTACTGCTTCAGAGTGTCCATTGAGGTCATAGATTCAAGTAAGTTGTTATGTGCATATTGCATGTCTTTTTCTTTTGCTGAAGTGTGGTTTGAGCCCACGGATGCTGATAAGGCCTGTAAGCCCTTCCTGTCAGAGAGCTGGAAAGCTCTATCTTACACCTCCCCCAATCTGGCTGAGCTCTGCACCATGAATCATACACTAGGTCTGCCTACTCCTACAGGTACCAGAGTTTAAAAAACACCTAAAATAAGCAAGTGCTTGATTGCTGGACAGGAAGTGGCGAGCTACTTGAATAGTAATCAAAGCATAATTTTGTTTAAGAGTGGCCCAGATCACTTGAGGATGTGTTGGGCTGTGTACCGGCTCTCTCCCGCCCCCTGCTGGAGCATCTGAATTGTGTGGTGGTCACTTTAGGTGCGTTGGGTGTGATGGTGTGTGGAGAACATGATGCTGGGACTGTGAATTTGCAGCCACAAAAGCAAAAGCTGGTATGATGGCCTTATTATAATTAATTTATATAATTAATCATAAAGAAGTAGTTCACCCAAAAATTTTAATTTGCTGAAGATTTACTCACCCTTGGGTGATGAAGATGAGTTTCTTCATGGGAACAGATTTGGAGAAATGTAGCATTACATCACTTGCTCACAAATGGATCCTCTGCAGTGAATGGGTGCCATCAGAATGAGAGTCCAAACAGCTGATAAAAACATCACAATATAGTCCACAAGTAATCCACACGACTCCAGTACATCATTTGATGTCTTGTAAAATTAAAAGCTGTGCGTTTTTAAGAAACAAATTCATCATTAAAGTGCCCCTATTATGGGTAATGAAAGGTTCATATTTTGGTTTTGGGAGTCCCCAGTAACAGTTTGACATGCATGCAAGGTCAAAAAACAGGGAAACAGCTATTTTACCGCTCCTAAAGCTGCACCTAGTGGCAAACAATGAATTTGCATTTTCATTCAGACCAATGCGAAAAGACCAACAAGTGGGCGGGCAATATGCTAATGTTTCATGTTGACATCAACATTTTAAAAACGACTCGTTTTAATGACTCTACTCAGAGTTGACTCTTTTTATTTTTTTTTTGAGACAATAACTTGTAAAGCTGTGTTACACACTGCATGAAAGGTAATTTTCAAAAATCCATAATAGGGGCACTTTAAGGCATTTTTAACTTCAAAACTATATCTATAATATTGCTCTCCAGTGAATAAATCATCTCGTCTGAATCAGGAGAGAAATATGCACTGATCAAGCACCATTTACAAGCAAAAAAGTTCTAAACAAATATGTTGAATGATTTTGATGTGAGATGACAACAGAGGATGGACATTTCACTGGAGGAAGTGTTATGGATTATGGACTTGTATTTTGGTTAAGTTAAAATGGCTTAATGATAGATTTGTTTCTTACAAACATGCAGCTTTTGCTTCACAAGACATTAACTGATGAACTGGAGTCGTGTAGATTACTTGAGGATTATTGTGATGTTTTTATCAGCTGTTTGGACTCTCATTCTGACGGCACCCATTCACTGCAGAGGATCCATTGGTGATCAAGTGATGTAATGCTACATTTCTCCAAATCTGTTCGGATGAAGAAACAAGCTCATCTACACCTTGGATGGCCTCAGTGTAAATTTTCATTTTTGGGTGAATTATTATTTTGAGTAAATCTAAAGATCTTAGTTGTAACATTAAAATGCTGAACATTATTTATGCTTTTTATAACAGAAGGGACGGCTGTGTGCTGTTCATTATCCAGCGCTGGCTATGAGCTCTAAAGAAACAGTAAATGTGTCTGGAGCTGGTGACAGGTATGTTAACAAAAGTTTTTAACATCATACAAAACAAACGCATGTGGCATTTGACTCTCTCTATCTCATCTAGTTTTGCTGGAGCAATGATGGTGGGGATCTTACAAAGGTTGGACACAGACAGCTGTGTGCGTATGGGTCTCCTTGCCGCCCGCACATCCTTGCTGTCTCCTCATCCAATAGATCCATCTCTGACAGCAGATGCCATCCATCTGGAAAAGTCACACTCTCAACTGTGGTCAAAGCCTTCATGTGTGTGGATAGAGGACTGAAATACAATCAGAAAGAGATTGAAGTCTTGTCAGCAAACATCTACAGTCGTGATGCATCAGGCTGTACATATAGGTGGTACTTTTGTAGAGTTTTGCTACAAACAAACTCAAATATGGGTGCATACCAAGGAGTGTCTGCAGACTTCACATGTAATGTAATTAATTGAATTTGAGTAGATTGATTTATTTTTTTAAATGAATGGGTCTAAACCTCTGTCACACTGATCTTATCTGTAGTAGTGGACACCTTCAGAAACATGAAAATCCTACCTCGTAACTGAAACAACTGTGTTTTTAGCATTTTATAGTATTATAACTCTTGTGTTTATAAATGACAGAGTTAAGACTTTTTTTAATAACTAATTTTTAATTGTCAACTACAATGTTTTTACATTGAATTTGAAATAAAATACTTTTATAATTTCAGAATATATTTTCAGTTTTCTTTATTATTTTTTCTGTATTATTGTAATTATAATTACTGTGCATGTACTTTTTATTATCTCAAATTAACTGAGAGAGTACATAAAATGTTGCTATTAAAAAGGTTACATTTAATATTACTATTTGAGTAAATGTCTAAAAAGAAGTGGTATAAAATCAAGTTAATGTTTTAACTGCAAAATAAAATCTTTTTACATTTTAAATATCTTTTTAAAATTTAATTCTTTTATAATTATTATACATGCAGTTTTTATCATGTTAACTGAGAGAATACATTAAATTATACTATTTAAAAAGTTACCATTTGGTTGAATTTCAAAAAAAAAAAAAAAAAGTGTAAATAAAATCTATAAGAAATTGTCTTATAAAACAAAGTTATATAGTATTTAGTTAAATATTTAATTTACATTTCTATAACTGTTACAATAACAAAAGCAAATTATAAACTTTAAAAAATGTAAATACTTTTAAAAATTTATTTTTCTAAGTGCACCTAAATCTGACATGGATGGTATCGATTTGTATCGCCCCTCGTGGTGACTGTAGTACATTACTGATGTTAAAAATTATGTTGACAAAAATTAACTACATCTCCCACAATGCATTGTGCTTCGCATCTTGCGCAAACTCAGTGAGCGCTGACTGGTTACTGTATTCCCTCCTCATTTCAGTGTAAGATGGTGGTAAAAATCTGCTACCTAGGTAAACAGTAAAACTGAGTAGGGAAACATCTAATCAATTTTGAACATCTGAGCTGTGGAGTAGTGCTCATTCCAAACTATCAGATAGGCACATCTGATCAGTTGAAAGGCAGAAACCCCCGCCTAAACTAGAGTGAATATCCCTTGGAGTGGAATCCCTGCAATACAGGACCAGCTAGTAGAAGTGAGTAGCCTACAAAACAACTGCTTTAATCGCGATCAGTGTACCCGATTATAACTACTACATCGGTATTAGGTTTGTATCTGTGTGTTGAAGCAGAGTAACCCCATGGTTAAAGAATAAACCCTTCATTTTAAGTGAAGGATGAAGTCAAAGGTGGACAGGCGGCGGTTCCTCCTCTAGTCGCCGGGCCGTTCAGTAGGAGAGTCGCAGGCTTTTGCTGTGTGTAGGCCGCAAAATAGAAACGTTCAGAAAACACTCGTTGTCGACTAAATATATATGTAGGGAAAGTCGTTTTATTAACTTTCAATCATTTCAAAATATCCGTGCTTTTACGTTTGTGTGTTATTTATTGTTGGAGGGTAAATTAAATGTTTTTAGGCGTTGTGTTTTGTGCCGCACGTCAGTTGAAGTCTGTCCCAGCTGTGGAGACACCTGACCGGCTTTCAGCGCGACTGACGCGCCGCTAGACATATATGATGTGAGATGTCAATAATTGCGATTTCAATAATAATTCATAGACTTCAAACTAGGATTCAATGTGTTGTTTATTTAATTCATGTCAATTTGAGGCCGAAACAGGCTCTACGGAGGTCTACGAATCAGATGCGAGAGATTGAAGTGTAGATGTTTAATACATGCTTTCTCTGATATAATTTCATATGCTTTTTAGAATGTCTATTTTTGTGAGGAAAATATTAGCTACATCTTTTAAACATGCATTTGTTGTGATACAAATGTCAGGGTTGGACAAAAGGGATACTGAATCTTGTCATTCGCAATTCATTTAGATAGAAAGCTTTAGTATTTTGTGCTAAATACAACATTGGCTCTGTATTGTGTGTAAAAATCGTTTATTTTAAATGGAAATATTGTAAATTAGGTATTCGTGTCTGTCTATGAACTGTGAATACCTGACTTTCAGTCATCTCTAATGTGACCCAGTGGTCCTATTCTGCAATCCCAATACATCAGCATGTTTATAGACAACTGGGCAAACTGATTGTAATGAGAGAAACATGAAAAGGCTTAATGTGCTTTGTGGTAGCTTGATGTTTTGGACTGCTATGAGCCCACGACAGCTGACTGTATTCATTTGGCATGGCTATTCGCTTTGTTTTGATCTAACTGTATGCCATTTTTCAATATGAATAATTTAACAACAGCATTTATGTACTAAGGTAAAGTATTGTCATCATCCACAATTCCACATTTAAATCAAATCTACTTGCCTTGACTTTGCATCAGCCCTTCGGCCGACTTGCCAGAGACTCTCCCGAACTTGCAGTACGATAGGATGTCCCGCAGTCCCGAGCTGAAAGAAGACCCCATGGAGTGCCCACTGTGCATGGAACCGCTTGAGATTGACGATGTCAACTTCTTCCCCTGCACCTGCGGCTACCAAATCTGCCGCTTTTGCTGGCACCGCATCCGCACAGACGAGAACGGCCTCTGCCCTGCTTGCAGAAAGGTATGATTCTGCTTGAAACTTGTATACAACTTCTGATAATTGTGATGGACTACTTGTTCTATATCTGTTTGTCAAAACGTCAACGTTGCTATTGGGACACGTTACACTGTATATGAGAAGCTGTCCTTGATGTGCACTTTCTCAGGTAGTTGATACCGATATGGCTGATAGCGATATCTAAAACAGTGGTTCTCATCTGTTGTATCATGAACAGCAGGAGAAAACTATGTTAAATGCAAATAATGAAACCCAACTAACATCTAATATAAAAACCTGTATAATCGTGGATAGTTTGTATAGCAAAATAAAAAGGATTTTAAAAGGGATGAGAAATTATTATTATTTTTTTTGTTCAGTGCCTCTTCTGTCACAAATATTAAAGAAAATACGGCATGGTTTGTGCTAAATGTGTTTTGTTATGTGAATATTTGAATGCCAAGAACATAAATGCAAACACTCAAACTATAAAGACAAGTTTATTCGTTTTTCTACTAATATTAAATTAATCAGTAATATTAAATAAATGATAAATTATTTATTACCTATTAGATAATTATGTAAATACATATGAAAGTATTAAACAGTCAGTTGTTTATTATATTAGTAATACATTTTATGTTAGATTTTAGAGAGAACATTTGTTTAACTGTTGTATGAACATTTAAAGGGGACATAACACACACAGTTTCACCCAATCTCATGTTGATCTTGACTACCTATAGAGTAGTATAGCATCGTTCATATCTTTCGTTTTTCATATTTATAAAAGAAAAATACAGCTTTCCGATTTTCTCAGAAAACAGCTGAGCTGGAGGCGCGCCGTGGGCGGAGCTAAAGAATGATGAGCACTTGCCCGATTGCCAACAAAACACAGACATTTGATGCTGTTTCACTTACCGTCTGCAGTTCTGAATCATGACCGGGATGTTTTATAGCTGGGACCGCTCCATCTTCCAGTATCAAGCGATGTGCAAATCCAGCGTCGAACTGGGCCTTGTTTATAAAACTTTCGTCGACAAACACACTTGCAAACTCGGTTGCTGCCCCGGAAAACAAACTGCATCCACTGTTTACATAACGCTGGGTTCTTCGGGAAGCTGAACAAGGTTATCTTTCCCTTACAGCCAAAAACACACCTCTTTAGGTACATTTATCCTGAGCGAGTCCCGTGCAGCGCTGCTGAATGAAGCATGTTGATGGGTGCGCTCTTGCTCTCGCACCGGTCGATGTGTGCGTGGGCGCGCGCTTCTGGGAGAAATGCCCGTATAAGTAGTTCCACCCTTCATGACGTCACGAAGAGCCACGATCGAAAACAACTTTCCGAAACTTGTAAGAAACCCGGAAGTGTGTATTTAGCGCAGAAATAATCTGTTATACATCCAAATCGTTTTTTGAAACTTTGGCAATGTTTAGCATGAGATAACAGTGTAAACAACTCTGAATGCATGAAACAGCATTGTACCCCCCCTTTAACTATCATATGTGAAAAGGTTACTACACCCAAACATGAAAATTAATTTACTCATGTTTTTCCAAACCCATAAGTCTTTCTTTCATTTTATAAACACCATTTTTTTTAAATGGAGATTTCTTTTCAGTCTATTCCACCAAAACTTAGATGGTCCAAAAAGTTAATTTAAAACATTGTAAAACTAATCCATATGAAACAAGTGGTTTAATCCAAGTCTTCTGAAAGCATGATAATTTTATATAATGAACAGATTTAATCTTTGATCTATGCAGATCTCTTTATAAACTTTTTATAGCATCACAGATTTAGTGTAATGGACTATCAGTGTAGAAACAGCCATCTCGCAGGTTTCATTAAAAAATATCTTAATTTGTGTTTTAAAGAAGTCTCATGGGTTTGAAACAGGTGAGCAACTGATAACAGAATTTTCCTTTCTGGGTGAACTGACCTGTTAAACAATTCTGCTACTGTGTTGGGTCGCCACTTAATGCCCAACATACTGTCTGGCTCCTGAGGCAAAATCAGTTCAAAATCACCAATCTAGAAAGCTCGATGGTCAATATGTATTGTTACTATGAATGTATTGTTAAATATAAAAATATATATTGTTATGCACAAGCACAGTGGTCAAATACCATCTGATTAACCAGCCTTAATGTTCCCAAGCCTGATTATGCAATTGTGGCTAAAGTATATTGCGCCACTTTCTTGGCAAACTGCACTTCCCAAGTGTAAAAGCAATGTGGTTCATTTGGAAGGAAAGGAAAGGAGGTGAGTAGTGGAACACACACACAGAGCAGTGGGCAGCCAATGCTGTGGCGCCCGGGAGCATTTGGGGGTTAGGTGCCTTGCTCAAGGGGTCTCACCTCAGGCGTGGTATTGAGTGTAGAGAGAGCGCTGGACATTCACTCACCCCACCTACAATCCCTGCCGAACCTGATATTCGAACCCACGGCCTTTGGGTTACAAGCCTGACTTTCTAACCATTAGGTCACGACTGCCCCCTAATCTTTCAGGGGAGAGCGCAAACGCAGTCCCCCACTACCATAAATTATGCAGTCGAGATTCCCACATTTGGGGAATCCGCAGGGGTCAGCACGGCCGCAGTGCAATGGCCGAGCCTCACTCTGGGTGAAGCACCTTCTTGATCATGGTGTCTCCCCTGCCAGGTAAGTATCATTTGACTCACTGTGATGGTGTGTCAGCCTGAAAACTTGACCTATTTGCAGAGTTCTTTGAGAATTGCCACCCCTCAGATGCAGGTTCAAATGAGGTAACTGGCTCTGTGTGTTCTGTAGCCTTATCCGGAGGATCCGGCAGTATACAAACCACTGTCACAAGAGGAGATCCAGAGGATAAAGAATGAGAAAAAGCAGAAGCAGAACGAAAAGAAGCAGAAGGTAACAGAGAACCGCAAGCACCTAGCCAGTGTCCGTGTAGTGCAGCGGAACCTTGTATTCGTCGTGGGACTTTCTCAAAGACTTGCAGATGCGGAGGTGAATGCTCATGTTAGACAATGCCATTGTCTTTTTTTTTAATATATATATATATAACAACTCTTTGGATGTGCTGAATTATGAACTTTAAATTTTTTTTTACAATTATTTATATGTAATAATTTAATCATTCATTAATTTCTTGTTTTAATTTATTTTATTGCATTTATTTTAATGCATTTTTATTAATTACTAGATAATGAATAACTAGCTACTGGCTGAAATAAATTTAAATATACACTACCTTTCAAAAGTTCAGGGTAGGTTTTGTAGATTTGTAGAAGGCTGCATTTATTTGATCAAAAAATAGTAATATTGTGAATTGTTAACTTTTAAAATATTTTTTTAGGTTAATATATAAAATGTAACTTAATGCAATGCAAAGCTGAATTTTCAGCAGCCATTACTCCAGTTTTCAATGTCACATCATCCTTCAGAAATCATTCTAATATGCTGATTTGGTGATCAAGAAACATTTCTAATTATCAATATTTCTAAACAGTTCAATGCAGAATCAAATTTTCACTGATAAACTGAAAGCTCAAAAGATGAGCATTTATTTCAAATAGAAATATTTTGTAATATAAATGTAATTGAAATAGATTTAATGCATTCTTGCTGAATAAATGTATTAATTTCTTTTAAAAAATCATACTGACCCCAACCTTTTAAACGTTAGTGTACAATTTAATAATAAATAAATTAATGACTTAAATTGGTAATTTATTTTTAAAATTTGTACTGATTACAAACGTTTGAACGGTAATGTATTTCATCTCAATGTATGTGTATTTAAATCTCTGATCATGTAAAATCCACTGCACCCTTTGGCCATATCATATCAGTGAGAAATGTGTCACTTTTTGAAGAATCACTCTCACTTTGATTACTTCTCAGGTTCTAAAACGCCCGGAATATTTCGGAAAGTTCGGCAAAATCCATAAAGTGGTCATCAATAACAGCACATCATATGCAGGTTCACAGGTAAGAAAAGCCACATGTGATCTTAGTTATGAAACATGATGCTCACATGCTTCCTGTGCATTCAGCGCCTGTGAAAAAGTCTCTGGCTTAAGGCTACAGCAAAAGAGTAGAATAAAGAAAACACACTTATTACATTTATTTTGACCTTTCACTCCACAGGGTCCTAGTGCCAGTGCCTATGTAACTTACATTCGTTCAGAGGACGCCCTTAGAGCAATACAGTGTGTGAACAATGTAATAGTGGATGGTAGAACACTCAAGGTAAGTGCTAAACCATCACAATGTAAGCCATTTACAAAATTATCATACGTTAAGTATATTATGTCTGTGTTAAATGTTTATTGTGTATTCTGTCACTTTGAAGTTGTTTGTTTTTAAAATACTTGTCTGTCACTGTTTTGTCTCAAGGCTTCTTTAGGTACAACAAAGTACTGCAGTTATTTTCTCAAAAGCATGCAGTGTCCTAAACCGGACTGCATGTATTTACACGAACTAGGGGATGAAGCGGCTAGTTTTACAAAAGAAGAAATGCAGGTGAGCACATTTGTTTACAGATCAATCAGTTCAGAAAAAAGCATTTAGAAAAAGTTTTGCTGTCTGTTTTTTAAATTCTGGATATTGTTTGACTGCTGTGTGTAAATTGTTTTTAGGCTGGGAAACATCAAGAGTATGAACAAAAATTACTCCAAGACCTTTACAAAGCAAACCCCAACTTTTTACAAACCTCAACATGTGGGGAGAAGTCGAAGAGCAAACCCAACTCCACTCAGAGGTGTTGTTTTTATCCTGAATTTCATTGTTGCACCTGCCCAATCATATGAACATATTCATATTTATAAGTGACAATGAATGTGGCTTATGCTTACATTATATTCTATAATTAACTAAGCAGTAATGAATTTTCTTAAAATATATATAAAAAAAAAATATATATATATATATACACACTACCATTCAAACGTTTGTTGACGGTAAGATTTTTCTGATGTTTTTGAAAAACGTGTCTTATGTTCATTAAGGCAGCATTTATTTGATCAAAAAATGCAATGAAAAACAATTAATATTGTGAAATTACAATTTAAAATGTTTTTTTTTTTTTATCTCTTTTAAAATAATTTATTACTTGTATTTTAAATATATTTATTCAGCAGCCATTACTCCAGTCTTCAGCGTCACACTTTTTCAGGATTCTTTGACGAATAAAAAGTTCAAAAGAACAACATTTATTTAAAATAGTTTTTTTAAACATTATAAATGTCTTTACTGTTACTTTTAAAACACTTTTAAAACACTTACTGCATCCTTGCTAAATAAAAGCATTTATTTAATAAAAATTACTGAATATTGAATATTGTACATATAGTGTTTCTTTTCTATGAGAAATGTGATTTCCATTTTTAACTTTAACATTTTTCCCCCAGACCCAATAGTACCAATAAAGAAGGGTGGCCCTTATTACAGAACTATGGGAAAATGGTTAACGGTTTAACCACAGAGCATCGCAAATCCCCTCCTCTTTTAGACTGCCTAACAGACTCAGACCACATGACTCCAGACGAACCAGACCCTGAACAGGGAACAGAACAGAACACAGGCCTTCCACCCTTCCCATCAGCCTTAGAGCCTACCAGGTACTGTACTGCAGAAGCCTAGCCAGTAGTTGCTTTGATATACAACAACATACGTTTCATATCAAGTGATTTTTTTCTTCCTGTGTGTTTTGGTGCATGCTCATCACACTGTGCTTTTATTTCAGTCCAATTGGCAAACCATCAGAACCCATAAATATAGGAAACGGGGAAAATATATCACAGGTACGTGCTAAGAACTCTAAGAATCGTTACTGTGTTTTTTTTTTTGATCCATCTGTCTGTATTTGGTTTGACAGACATCCAGTAGCGATTCCCCATCTCCTCCACCTGGCTTTACTAAACCCAGCCTCGTTGTGCCCATCAGCGTGGCCGAACTCACAGCTCGCTCACCCTTCGAGGGGGCGGCAGCAGAGTCTCAGTCTCTTTTCTCAGACAACAGCAATTTCAGACATCCCAACCCCATCCCCAGTGGCCTGCCCCCTTTCTCCAGTTCACCACAGGGAGCCTCCGACTGGCCCATGACTCCAGAACCACAGAGCCTTTTCAGCTCAGGTAGGCCTGTACAGTGAATGCAGTGTAGTGAACCAATAAGATTGCAGTATGTGCGGGGCTAAACCCACCAAACTCTCTTCCTTTTGCAGACACTATCCCAGTGTCGTCCTCCACTGATTGGCAAGCGGCCTTTGGTTTTGGCTCTTCGGCCAAGCAGCAGCAGCAGCAGGACGATGACCTCGGCTTCGACCCATTTGACGTCACACGGAAGGCCCTGGCCGACCTCATAGAGAAAGAGTTGTCAGTCCAAGAGCATTCCCCCCTCTCTCCCAACCCCTCTTCCCACCAGACCAGCCTCCCCAACGGCCAACAGCACCTTCCTCACCTCCAGCACAGAGGCCTCTATAACTCATTTAGCCTGCCCCAACACATGGCCGCACGCCACCCCTGGATGGGCCTTCCCACCCGCAATAACCTCACACACTTGAACCACACGGCCTCAGCTGCGCACAGCCATTTCTTAGACCTGAGCATGCCGGCCCAGCACCACAGTATCGGCCTTGGGGGGATTCCTATATCAGGTTAGGGGATGTCTTGTGTACACCAGTTTTTTTGTGAAACACCTGTGTGTGTGTTAAAACACCTGGTCTAAGCAGGGCTACAGTTGTAGCCCACTGATCCAAATACAAACAAGTTGTTGAACTCATTCCCAGTATGTTTATTGTTGTTTTTTAACTTTTTTTATTAGTAAAAAGTTTATAAGGAAAAATTTATTTTATTTTCCCTTAATGGTTAATTCAGCTTGTTTGTGCCCCTGAGCCCTTTATGAGAGCGAACTGTGGTCATCTTCAGTGTTTTTATTAACTAAAACTATTAAAAACTATTTTCGGTAATTGAAATCAAGCTTGAATAAAATGAAATATAACCAAAAAACAGAAACTTGAGTAATATTGTTTTGGCAACTGAAAGAAGTAAAATTTACTTCCAGACTTACTAAAACCTAAACAGAAATAAAGCTAAATAGAAATATTTTTAAAAAGCACAACAAAATACTAAACTAAAATTAAAATGAAAACTGAAAATATTTTAAAAATCTATTAGTATAATTAATATAATAGCAATTAATAAATACTTTAATTGTATAGAAATAATATTTAGATAAAACGTCATCTTTAACCTCTCATCTGTAATTTATTTTTCTTGTTGATTATCCCATTTTACGTAAAATTGTTTGCAAATCAGTTTCACATAGACGTTAAGGGATTGTTCACCTGAAGATGAAAATTCTGTCATTGATTACTCATTCTCATGTCATTCCAAACTCGTAAGAACAAAGGGTTCATCTTCGTAACACAAATTAAGATATTTTTGATTAAATCTGAGAGGTTTCTGACCCTGCATTGACAGCAACACAACTAATGAGGACATTGTAAAAATGGTCCATGTGACATCAGTGGTTCAACGGTAATGTTAATAAGCTACGAGAATACTTTCTGTGTGCAAAGAAAACAAAAATAACAACTTTATTCAACAATTTCTTCTCTTCCGTTTCAGTCTTCGACGCATGTTCAGAAAAACTATCCCTTTAGGGATGCCGCAAAGTTTAAATTCTCTGGGTTTTTTCATCAATTTCTTGCTCTTTCAGAAAACAATGGTTCTGTGGAAAGCATAAATGTGAAAGAGTGGCAGGACGGACTGCGCGCGCTCCTACCAAATATCAACATCAACTTCGGAGGCCTCCCGAACTCTACCTCTTCCTCCTCCTCGTCCTCCACTTCCAGTGTGAACCACATCGGGGTGCCGGTAGGCTCGGCTGGAATCTCGCACAGCCTCATCTGGGAAAGTACGGCCAGTTGGATGGACCCCGCCATCATCACAGGTGCGATTTGTGTTTCGTAAACCCTCTGGTTACGGATAAAACCTTAATCAGAAATAGTACTCATTCATATCCCTTCATAAACTCCAGGTATCCCAGCATCCACAGGCAACAGTTTCGACTGTCTCCAGGATGACAATCCGCCACACTGGCTCAAGTCGCTGCAGGCGCTCACAGAGCTGGACGGACCGCCCAGCTCCAGCGCACTCCCACAGCCCCCGCACACCAGCCTCCTGGACGCGGCCGCCCAACTGTCCTTACACAGAGCCGCCTGGGCCCCTTACCTCCCTCCTCCCACACTCACCCCAAATCAGTTCCACTCCCCACCTCCAGGTTTTCAAACAGCCTTCAGACCCCCAGCGCAGACGGCCACAGACATCCTACAGAGTGCCGGTATTGACCGTCACTAAAGACAACCTTCTCTCAATTTAACTGCATCACAAATATGAAACTGCAAATATACCCCTTCCATTAATAACGTAACATAAGCTCTTGTCTTTCTACCCTTTCCCTCTCCATCCCTTCCCCATCAGGATTTGTTTGTCTGTTGACAGTTTTTTTGAAGGCACACATATGATGAGCACCATCAGTGCAGGGTAATGGTTGAGACAGATACTGAGGGTCCTAACACATATTCACACACACCTTCACATATGATTCTGGGGGAAAATAAGTGTCTGACACTGAAATGTGCAGAGGAAACCGTGAGCACTGACGTGTACATGTGACTAACAATGGCTAAACAGAATGTGCTTAAACGAATAACGTGTCTGATTGGCGTCACTCCTTCGTCCAAGGTACAGACTGTAATTTAATACTGTGAATCTTTACACTTCCCGTACGTTAGGTCTCACCACCACTTGAAGGAAATGGATTATAATATGTTCTCGGCTTCTTACACGTTTAATGTTTACGAAGCTACAGGTGAGATGTTTGAGTGCATTAGTAGAATCCAAACCCTGGTCCTCATTAGAGGGGACTCCATTAATCACAGAGTAGTATTAGTAGAATCCAAACGAATGTGAAACAACTTTGTAATAATTTAAGTTCAATATTTAAAAACTGAAATTGATTTTACACACTTTAAGCAATATCGTATTGCATATTTAATCAACATCACACAGCCCTAATAACAGTGGAAACAACAAAACACGCAGTCATTTTCTGCTCATAAAAAAAAAAGGTAAGAGCAATACATCGTTCTAAACTGTAAAGGGTCTACTTTTATTTGTGTGCACTCACAAATCAACAAAACGTTGTGCTTTTATAAAAATAAAGAAAACGAACGCTTTCTGCAGTCTCAGTTTTGAGCAGGAGCACATTTAAGTTCAATATTTAAAAACTGAAATTGATTTTACACACTTTAATCAACATCACACAGCCCTAATAACAGTGGAAACAACAAAACACGCAGTCATTTTCTGCTCATAAAAAAGGTAAGAGCAATACATCGTTCTAAACTGTAAAGGGTCTACTTTTATTTGTGCGCACTCACAATCAACAAAACATTGTGCTTTTATAAAAACGAACGCTTTCTGCTGTCTCGGTTTTGAGCAGGAGCACAATCACAATGATGAACTTAAACTTAGCTAACTGTCTCACAGGCACGATAAATATATAGAAAGCTTTAAATTACTAGTTGAAAATGAAATGATTCAAATCAAAAATATAAACTACTTCATTATGTAATCTCTAAAGAGCCAGTTCTCTCTAAATGCACTTCCAATGAGTCACTTCTTTCCACCATAATTGATGGATGCCTAAAATATATATTTAAATAATAAGCCTAAAACAGGCCCGATTATAATTTGCGTTTTATTTTATAATGCCATACAAATTATAATGGTACTATAATTGCGTCACTGATATTTTCTGATTGTTACATTGCTCTGTTCTGAATAACTTACAGGATTTGCTGCAATGCAACTTTGTCTGATGTGAACAAACCTTTTTTTTTTTTTTTTAAATCCATGCAGCAAATGCGCTAAAAATTACTTTACTGCATTCCAGACGCTTTTAAAGTACTTTATACATTTTATGGGTAGCTTGAATGTAAAGCAGTCATGAATTCGTTGTATTCCCATTTGTAAAACAGCGTAAATTAATTGTAGGCTAACCCGAGCTCATGAAAGTGCGTATAGCACGATTTTCTGCTTCTATTTGGCGTAATTTATGCGCGGAAATTGACTTTGGCATGCAAAAGACCGAAATTCATAATGGCACGGCTGGTTCAGTCGACAGAAACACAGGACACACAGGCCTATAGAACTACTGCCGAAATGTTTGCGGGGCAGACCTCAGGTCAGTCCGAGCGCTCACGGTGCGCACAGCGCGTGCAGCCCTCTACACCTGCAGGCGCCACTGCAGCCATCCAGCGCGCTCTGGTTTACAGGCTACTTGTAGAAGACCAAACGGGGGCGCCATTAGATTAACTTCTTTAGGCAGTTTACCAGTGGAAAAAAGAAAGACACACAGTTAACTTTGCTGTACTACGGTCAAAACAAAACACGTTTACAAACCAAACACTACGGTCAAACGAGACAAAAACAAGACAAACAAAAAACGCTCCAAGCGTGATTCAATCGGAGCACTTACACAAGCTTGCGGTGTGCACAAGTCAAACGCCATTCTCGGAGGAACCCAACCCTGCAGCGAGTGTCTGAGCTCAGGCTTATTTGCAGGATCAGTGTAGAGATCCGCAAAAGTTGGCCATGCTCAATTTGCTCTGCTCAGCGTGCTGAACGCCCACAGATCCGACGCGCGTGCAGCAGAGGTGAACTCTTCGCGGCAGTCGGACTGTCCGCGCGCAAACACTCAAACCTGTGAGACCGAGCATCAGAGTACTCTATAGCTTTTTTTATACGCATCGGAACCGCGGAAAACTTCCCGTAATATACTGAAAGCTTAAGACAAAACAGTATAAATACCGTACAGGAAGCCAGCGAGCGTTAGGGTTAGAAGAAGTACTCTGTACATTCCCTCACGCGGCAAGGCTTTATATAGTGTTGATGATGTCACGATGAGGGACCCTCCCGCTGGGCTCTGATTGGCTGGTTCGCCCGCCAAACTGCTGATCCAACTCAATCAATAATAAGCCTAAAACAGGCCCGATTATAATTTGCGTTTTATTTTATAATGCCATACAAATTATAATGGTACTATAATTGCGTCACTGATATTTTCTGATTGTTACATTGCTCTGTTCTGAATAACTTACAGGATTTGCTGCAATGCAACTTTGTCTGATGTGAACAAACCTTTTTTTTTTTTTTTTAAATCCATGCAGCAAATGCGCTAAAAATTACTTTACTGCATTCCAGACGCTTTTAAAGTACTTTATACATTTTATGGGTAGCTTGAATGTAAAGCAGTCATGAATTCGTTGTATTCCCATTTGTAAAACAGCGTAAATTAATTGTAGGCTAACCCGAGCTCATGAAAGTGCTTATAGCACGATTTTCTGCTTCTATTTGGCGTAATATTTATATGCAGAAATTGACTTTGGCATGCAAAAGACCGAAATTCATAATGGCACGGCTGGTTCAGTCGACAGAAACACAGGACACACAGGCCTATAGAACTACTGCCGAAATGTTTGCGGGGCAGACCTCAGGTCAGTCCGAGCGCTCACGGTGCGCACAGCGCGTGCAGCCCTCTACACCTGCAGGCGCCACTGCAGCCATCCAGCGCGCTCTGGTTTACAGGCTACTTGTAGAAGACCAAACGGGGGCGCCATTAGATTAACTTCTTTAGGCAGTTTACCAGTGGAAAAAAGAAAGACACACAGTTAACTTTGCTGTACTACGGTCAAAACAAAACACGTTTACAAACCAAACACTACGGTCAAACGAGACAAAAACAAGACAAACAAAAAACGCTCCAAGCGTGATTCAATCGGAGCACTTACACAAGCTTGCGGTGTGCACAAGTCAAACGCCATTCTCGGAGGAACCCAACCCTGCAGCGAGTGTCTGAGCTCAGGCTTATTTGCAGGATCAGTGTAGAGATCCGCAAAAGTTGGCCATGCTCAATTTGCTCTGCTCAGCGTGCTGAACGCCCACAGATCCGACGCGCGTGCAGCAGAGGTGAACTCTTCGCGGCAGTCGGACTGTCCGCGCGCAAACACTCAAACCTGTGAGACCGAGCATCAGAGTACTCTATAGCTTTTTTTATACGCATCGGAACCGCGGAAAACTTCCCGTAATATACTGAAAGCTTAAGACAAAACAGTATAAATACCGTACAGGAAGCCAGCGAGCGTTAGGGTTAGAAGAAGTACTCTGTACATTCCCTCACGCGGCAAGGCTTTATATAGTGTTGATGATGTCACGATGAGGGACCCTCCCGCTGGGCTCTGATTGGCTGGTTCGCCCGCCAAACTGCTGATCCAACTCAATCACATTTGATAGGCACTAATTGCATTAATCAAATCATAAGACATAAACAACATACTGACATTTCGGATATTGTCGTGGAAACCCCAAAATATCCACATTCTGAAAGTTGAACCTGGAAGTTGAAGAAAGTATGTCTGGCCCATTCATAATACAAATTATTGTAGGAATTACTAATATTATGCTCAGATTACTTAGATTGTCAGATCAAAAAAAAAAGTTATTCTTCAGTTATGACGCCATGGGCTCCCTCTTGAATATGTAATGGGTTTGTAGAATGATTTGTCATAAAAAAAATACATAAAAAAATCTTTAGCTAAATGCTAAAATGACAATTTTTTATAGATTTTTGTATAGAGTGATGTTTTGACAACATATTTTGTAGGCCTGATTCCCATGACAAAAGCCCAATAAGACGTTTTATTATTATTATTATTATTATAGCAGAAAAGTAGGCCTAAGTTCTGTGACCATGCATAAGGATATGCTTTTTTTATTGTACTAGAAAGTACGTTCGGTTTTTCATTATTGCAGAAAAAGTTTTGTGACCAGCATAAGGTTATGATTCTTACATATTTTGTTCATCATGCTAGTATTCACAAATGTACTTAATTTTGAAGCCTAAATACAATCGTCAAAAGTAAAAAGCTAAACATAGGCTATTCTATAAACAAACCACCTTTTTTCAAGACAAGTAAGCTTTAAAAAAATAATAAGGGGGTTTTATGTATTTTATAAACAACAATATATCTTTAGCTGGTCTACAAGCCTTATTTCAGACAATTAACCAAAAACCAGATAGATAGAACCAGCTAAAAAACTCGTTTTTGAGTTTTGGCCTACAAAAAAATAGATCAGTAGCGCTGTTAGACCAGTCAAGACCACTCAAGGTAATGCCTTACTTTTTGACAGTTAACAACATACCAGTTGTTCAGCTGACAAAGCATCTTTACGGAAAAAAGACAAAAACTCCATTTTGAAAGTTGTGAGTTGTGAAAATTAGGCCTACACGAGCCACAGTGCAAAGTCTATCCCTCACAGCCCCGTTGTCATCCCAGTTAAATTCAATATGGCGTCTAACCTGACAGGTTTGAAACACCAGGGTGAGTAAACACTAAATTTTCAATTTGAGGAACTATTCCACTGAAACCACGCCTTCTTTCTTTGCGTGCACATTTGGGCGCATTATGCAAATATTTCCACATAGTGAGGTAGATATGTGGGGGCGTGTTAGAACCAGCCGTTTTAGGGGGGCGTGGCAGAGTCTTAACTTTGATAAAGAATATCTCTTTGGTTTTGAGACTTTAGTCTTTGTAACTTCAGGGATCTTATCTATGCACAATCAGCTTGTAACACTCCAA